CAACAAAAGAGAGAAAGAGCATCAACCGGAAAGAATTGGGTTCTTCACCATTCAAATTTTGAAAAACTATCGGCCGAGTCCAACACAACTCGCCTTAGTATCCTTTAAATCCAAGAACGTAGCTTCATTTGTTCAATATATAAGACAAGAGATTATCCACTTGTCAAAAAGCAAAAATTTCATCAGAAAAACTGAGGAACCTGAAGAAAAATTCCTTTTGTTGAAACAATTGGTGACTCAAGGTATATTCATTAATTAAAAATAGTATTCAATAGAAATCTATAAAAATGTAGAATGGGGTTTGAGGAAGACATGAGCAACCTCTCAAATGAGCGATCACTCCTCAGAACGAAATTAAACACGCCATAACCTAAAGGAACTAGAGGCCACCTCCAGAAGACCCCAGTGGTGGGTTATCATTAAAATACGAAAACACACAAGAAAGGATCTCAGCATCGCTTCTTTATCAACCTCCTATAAAATAGAGCAATGACCAATAGACTATCTCTTCTTAAAATTCAATATATCACCGCGGTAGACCAATGTATAGACACGCCAGCCATTTGAAGTACCAGATGGTAGTGAAAGATGGGTCAAGATAGTGAAGCTTGTTTAGATGGAGGAAATGTATGGACACAAATATATTAGACTATAATACAAATGAAAATACCAAAACGCGGATGTTTCTTTTCACATATAAATCAAACTTCTACAGCCCTTACTGCGATGAAAAAATTATATTGGGAGGGCTTGGCTAATCAGTGGTGAACCTGAGGGCAGTAGTAGTTTGATTTATTTGTGAAAAGAGACATTCGCGTTTTGGTGTTTTCATTTGTATTATAATAGATGGAGCGTTATGGCAATGTATTATATTAGACTATAGTCATAGTCAATTCTCCATTTAATTTTTGGTTTTAAATCTGAATTGAACTTAAATCTGGTATTTTTATCAATGCCTTCAGGTGATATCGTCTACCTAAGTTAAGGATGTGCCATCAGTCGTCGCCAATTTGCATAATCTCCTAACAAGTTCTACGTTGGCGAAACTATGTGATATTGATCTCCAATATTGAATCCACCAAATCGTTCAATTTCACATTAATATTTATGTTCGATTCAAATAGAGGCGAAATATTGAAAAATAACGTTTTGTCTCATACACAATCAATTTTTTTTAAATCAAACTAAATGTGGGTCTTCAAAATATTGATTTTAAAGACGATATGATCCTAAATGCTATTAGTTTTTATTTCTGATTAATGTTAGCATAGAAAATATTGGAATTGTGACTAGGGACAGGGAGCTCTTGGTCCAAATTGTGGTTGGGTCTTAAATCCGATTAATTGTAATTCAATCCCCTTGCACCTAACAGAGAATACACTCTAAACTCAAATCCTTGAATATCATAAATATAGAGGCTGCCTGGCCGACATTCATAGTTCTTAAAATTAAAGATACTAAAAAAGATACATAAAAAGATTTACTGGCCGAATAATCTTTAATTTTAAGAACAAATCCTTGAAGTTTGATCCTGAGACTTAGGGAGGAATAAGCAGCTGGACGAGGTAATAATTTCCAAGCAATTTACGCCAAGATGTCCCATCTAAATATATCAATGTTTCATCAAGATAAGTCTACTCCCCTTCCATCCCCCTCGGGCATAAAAAAAAAAACATCTCAGGGTGGGGAAAGAGCCTAACTAGGGCTAACAGTCAGTCAACAGGAGTCCAAGCCATTTGTTTAAAAGACTCATTAGCTCGAAGTCATCCGATACACAGTTGTCAACCAATCCCAGATGGTCCCTGTAAACTGATCCTGAAGGAATATTGCCCATAAAAATGATCAATGGTCCCCCCGAATTTATCGCGCCTCCCAAGTCGGGGGAGGGAACTGAGTGGCAGGGAATCTGATTCCTTCCTTTCCTAAAGACCGAAGAAAAATGATCTATTTGGGAACGTTCTGCTCAACTTGTGACCCTAAATCATTCCAAATTATCAACAACCTTTTTCGAAGAAAGGCTGTTTAGATCGTTTGTTATTTTAAGGCATGTTGATGTTTATAAGTGGTAAATTATCTGTGGGAAAGAAACCCACTAGATGTCAAAAACTCTAAAATGATTATCATAAATGATTTCTTTCACACCTAAAATGAGAAAAATATGTGGATTGTAATACTGTACTAAGATGAAGATAAACAGTCACAGCTCTGTTATTTTCAAAATTTCTATATTTTTTTTCGCTGTCTATTCTCTGAAGTGGATCTCTCAAATAAAAATAGCTCGCCTATATTTTACAAGAAAATATTTATTTAATATTCTTCTAACATCAGGCGAGATCTAGGATTCTATCGAAACCCATCACAAATAAAAGTTAAGCTAAAGATTTTGTCTCCATTTGGGTAGTTAGCAACAAATAGAGAAAGTTTAATCTCTCGTTACACTTCAATTAGAACCCTACATCTAAATCCTAATTGTGCACTTTTCTAAAAAAAAAATCAAAATTGCCTCGATGTCCCCAATTCTTATACAAATTCCTTTAGTAAGAGCAAGTAACCAAAACGGGGCTTTGGGAGTTTAAAAAAAAATTATTTACCATGGTTACCATTACCATGTATGTCGATACAATGTGTATTTGTGTTAAGAAAGAAAAACATATTGTAATTTGTGGCTTATTCCTTCTATAGTACAGACACTTCTAGAGCGATTTTACTAAAATTTATTTAGCAAAATTATGCTGAAAAGTTTTGTGGGACATTATATATAATAAACTATGCTAAAAATAGTATTGTGTATGTATCTCTCTGTGCGGTCTGAGCATAAAAATAAATGTACGCTAATAATTTATATACTATTTATATATTATAAAATACGCCGTATGACCGTTTTATTCGCACGATGATTGGATGATCACTTTCACGTGACCGTAATCAGCCAACAAGCGTGCAATGTTTATCTCAAAGGTAGCATTCTTGCGTAAAAATTGATAAAGAGGGAGCAATCCCTCGAAATATTTATAATTTTTTTCACATATCCAGGTACGCCTTTTTCTATATAATTATATTCAAAAACCGCATTTTAACTCAAAAATATTCAAAATTATTTGTTTTAATGCTTGGTATTTAAGATTTAGAATACATTTATAATTTAAATATTTTTATTCAATTAAGATTATAATTACACAAGCATAACATTTAAATATATATATATCCTGTCTAACCATTCTCTATACTATCTAACTAACATTAAACGATCTATTTACAGCCTTTTTGGTCACTGGTCCAATATATTTATTTTCACAGACCAAATTATAAGATAAATTCAAAGATGAAAAATATGCAAAATAAATGAACAATTATATACATCATTTTATATTTATTTAAAACAAATGAACAATATATATACATCATTTTATATTTATCTAAAACAAATGAACAACTATATACATCATTATTTATTCAAAATATATGCAGATGCTTAAATTATATATCAATTAAATATTACTCTACCTTCTCTAAAATATATAAATATAAGTTAATATAATAAAAACGATAAATACATTTATAAATAAAACAACAGAAATACTATATAAAAATCTTAATATATCTTAAATTGTCTCAATTATCTTCTCTAAAGAAAAAAAAATGGCGCCAAAATAATGTCAGCAGACGTGGAGTCTAGAGGCGCAGACGACCATTCCAGGAATTTCCTATTAGGGCGCATGCGTCACCACATTGTTTACCTCTAATTGGTGTAAATCAAGCTGCTGACGTCAAAGGGAGAAAGTGGAGCGCCTGCGTACTAACCTCCTATTCTGATTAGATCCAGTTCGCAGAAGACGTCATCAGGATGTCCCTAAATTCCTGGCGTGTCGCATTTGGCGCTTTTACTTGCAGCAGGCTTCCTTATTCCTGGAGAATTGACTTCTGGTTCTTCCTTCCTGACTCTTGCAACAGAGAGTCATTAACATCCCTCTCTTGGAGAGAGAGAATGTTTTCTTTTATTCTAAATTCTTTAAGAACATTACAAATTGATGCTCAAATTAAGTGGAAAGTAGAATATTTATAAGAAGTTTTGTGTGATACCTTTCAGCTGGTGGTTAGTTACAAAGCGAACACCTGACAAACTAAGCATAATATTGTACTGGTTTGTCTTTCAAACTCTTTATTATCAAAGCTTTGGACGAATATTTTTGTTACTAGGTGCTGCTTTTTTAAAAGAGAGGTTTGATATATTTTTCAATTCAATATTTCATCATTATATTGTCTGAAAATTATCGAAACTGTCTCTTTTATAAATGAGAAGCTAAGGTATATATAAATGTTTTCTCCTGAAATCTTTGAAGGGGTTTATCGAGGTTGATGTATGAAGTCTAGAAAGAGTGAATCCTTCAATGAACGATATATCTGATGAGCGGCCATTTTGTAAAATCAAAAATGACTTGACCTGACGTAGCTGTGTGATTCGATGCGAGACGGGGGGCATCTTTGTCTTCAGAACAGACTCTCATGAGAGGTTGGTCGCGCGCGCGCGCGCGAATTAAAGAATCTATAATTAAATCAAAAGACTCACGGCTGATCCTGGCAAGCTGGAGTTCGGCAGACGATCGAAGCAGCATTGATGGAACGATTGATATGACGGAAAATAAGCGCCACATTTTAAAATTTCATTTCAATATGATTTATTTTATTGTTTTCAAATTCTTTTAAAGAAATAATTGAGTTATCATTTAACTTAGCTATAATCTACAATATATTGTATATTCTAATTTTAATACCTTATATAGACAATAATTTATATTTTATGAGAATTCTAAAATTTTATAGACGCGTATATGATTCTTTTAAAATTAAACAATTTTCCATCACCTATCATTATATTGACATTTTCTCTTTCCTCGCGGCTACGTTATATCTCCAACATCCACTATATAATCGTTTGTACAACGCCGTTTGACAAGTTTTACCGAAAAGGAGAAATAACGACTATTTCTATCCATAGGGATGCCTAGATAGCCTAGTGGACATGACATCTGCCCGGTAAGCGGAACACTGTGGGTTCGATTCTTATCCCCTGGACACTTTTATTTTTCCGTTCATCATTACTCTTCACAATTCATCCTTTCATATTTCCTCCCTAAGGATAGAAATAGTCGTTATTTCTCCTTAAAATAAATTACGATTTTTCGTTCAAAAGAAACATTTTCGCTTAAACTTGTCAAACGTCATTTTACAATCATAAGCCGCAGTATATTGTATTATAATCGTTTGTCTTTATAGTTGTAGACGTGAATATCTCACCGAAATATTGAAATAGGATATAAAATCTAAGATGCTCTTTCTTTATTGAAAATAATTATAATAGGGCTCTCAATGTAGAATGTGCTACAATAGAATCCACCGATAAACTCGGAGTCTCCAGAGATGGCGGTCCTTCTGTGGATCAGATATCGAGACAACTTATTTAGTAGTTTTCACAAGTGGTCGCTCAGAGAGGTTAGGTCTCTCGTGAAAGGTTTCCTGTATTTCCAACTATTGCTTTTGTTTAAATATAAGACATTATCTAGATTATAAGAATAATTTTCATTATAAAATCATCATAATTTCTTATTCTCTCTCATATTTTATTTGCTACATTATTGAAAATTTACTGAGAGTGATTTTTTATCCAGGGCATACAAGGTGTAAAAAAAATGTCGAGACAATTTTAGATTTATGAATAAGGTATGAGAGACCTCTGGGACGGTATGTTTGGCCAAAAAAAGTGATATCATGGAATATTAGTGTGGCCTAGCATGTTCATGGAGAAAGGACCAATCACCTTTATCCATTTTCGGCGAATTTCGATCGCAAATTCATAACAATTTTATAATATTGTTTACCTTGTGGTTTCGTCTATCTGCTTATGTTGTTGCTTATTTGTTTAATGTATATGTTTATTTAATGCTCTTTCTCTTAATAGTGTATTTCTTTTTGATAAGTCTGTTACCTACTTTACTACAATATGAATTATTGTAAATAGTTTCAAGCGCAATTATCCAGATCGGATATAGCGTGTTTGTAACTGGTAATAAATAAATATTGCTTATTAAATGTTTGTCCTTGAAGTAAATATTCCTGATCAATCAGGCCTCTGTAATTTAGAAATGCCCCCAATTTGTCTACCCCTTGGATTTGGAAACACGAAATTTTTTCTCCGAATGTAAATCAGGGCCCCTCCATTCTCCATGTTCTCTCGTTTTGTTAGAGAATCTTATTGGTAACATCAAGTTTTACCACAACTAATAATTTTTTAACAAATTTTTATCATTTCAGATGTTTTCAAAGATCTTGGCAAATTGTTGATATAATCTCTTCCTTTTCCAATGTAAAGGTTTTGTTGTTGTTTTTTTTTGTAAAAACTTTAGAAACTCTCTTTCTTCTTGTGCAAAACTTCAGCTAAAATATTGTAACAATTTGATTTTGATATATTTTGATCGTTTGTATAATCTTTGGCCAAAGCGATCTACGTTAGCTCGAGATATATATATATATATATATATATATATATATATATATATATATAATAATAAATAGTTATTTAATTTTATAGTCCAGTTTTGTATTAAAATTATCTTCACTATTATGATCATTTAAATACAAATTATAAAATTTGTAAAATGTTATTAATTTGTAGATAGAGAGAGAAAAAAAAAAAAAATCCTTTACTTCTTTTCCATCCTCAAGTTAATTATATATTTATAATTAATAACAATAAAAAAAATTAACAAAGTAACGTCTATTACATCGGCTTTTACACGTCATTCAGACATACTCTAATCCTATATATAGAATAATCGAAGAGATAATATATATAATAGTTAGAAAAAAGAGAGAAAGACAGAACCATGCACTTTTAATCAAACTAATAATAAGGGAAAAAAAAAAGAGTTTATAAAACTCTTTTTTTTTTCCCTTATTATTAGTTTGATTAAAAGTGCATGGTTCTGTCTTTCTCTCTTTTTTCTAACTATTATATATATTATCTCTTCGATTATTCTATATATAGGATTAGAGTATGTCTGAATGACGTGTAAAAGCCGATGTAATAGACGTTACTTTGTTAATTTTTTTTATTGTTATTAATTATAAATATATAATTAACTTGAGGATGGAAAAGAAGTAAAGGATTTTTTTTTTTTTTCTCTCTCTATCTACAAATTAATAACATTTTACAAATTTTATAATTTGTATTTAAATGATCATAATAGTGAAGATAATTTTAATACAAAACTGGACTATAAAATTAAATAACTATTTATTATTATAATTAATTTAGATTTAGCTTGCTAATCTAATCAAATCTAACTGATATAAGTTATCATTATTATCAGTTTGCTCCTTAAATTTTTTAAAATTAGAATCACTGTTATAATTTTGTTATATAGTTTCTACACTATATATATATATATATATATATATTGCCAAGTGGAAAATTAGGGAAGACCAACTTCGGGAATAAGACAGCAATTTATTTCAGGCAATAACAAACTATGAATGGTAAACAAAAGATAAGCTACGAGGGAAATTTACAGAGTATCAAGATATAAACATAAAAATGACCAATCTGTTAATAAAAATAATAAAATTAATAAATACTTTGTTACAATATAATGGGGGGATTTTGATTTTCGACTTGTATAAAAAATCAGTCTTTTATCCTATTGTGAATTGAAGATTTATAAGTATTTATCCATGATCTTGCTTAATTTATAACTGAATGGAATCTATTTTTGTTATTTTTATCTCATTAATAGATCTTCACATTCAGGGGTTTACTACCAAAACACACACACACCGGATGAATGTTTGAAATTAGTTTTTTTTTTTTTAAAGATTTTTAATGTAAACACTAGCAATGATAAAAGCGATATTTTCAAGAGAGTTGCAATTTATTTGTTGTCGTTTTGGGCATTTTTTCAAATTTTAGAATAGTTTCCTTGATATTTTCTATTTTAAATAAAATTTTTACACAAATTTCACTTTATGGTGATGATACTTCTCTCTCTGAAACATATCATTAATTTAATATTGTAGAGAAATATATTAATTTATATCTAAAGATTATTATATAAATCAGAAGCCAAATACAACAGCGGTCTGGTAGATTAAACCTGAGAAACTGCTGGTAGGGTTTACTACTGATGAATCAGCTCTTCCCAAATTATTTGCTATAAGATACAATAGGTAACAATATAAAAATAGCGCGAAATAAGCTCAGAATCTTACTTTATATTAGTGGGATCATTATAAAGATATATAGATGGCATCTTTATTTTACTAATAATGCCTTGAGAAGGTCTTTACGCTATTGTCGTGCTCTATTAGCTGAATCGAGGGTCAATACTTTCTATGTTTTAAAACTCGCAGTTTCATAAAACCTTAAGTGAAATCACCAAGACTAAATCATCAAATGAGGGGTCGGTGGAAGGATGGTTTAAACCGTTGGTTTTCGACCGCTACGACCCGGGTTCGATTCCCGCATTGGGAATAATGCTCCAATGGCCCCCGATTCTCGCAAAAGTCCAACCCCACCAGCGAGTGCAAACGGGGCTCTGGCACATTTGTAAGTGCAAAGTCGAACTGCTTTTCACATGTGTAGACATGTGGTGCACTTACATTAAAAGCAGTCACCTACTTCTACCCACCATGGTTATCATGGCCTGTACCACGTATACTAGGAATAATAAAAAAAAAACATCAAATAACGTACGTATAACAAATAAAACCTCACAAAACCTGATGCAGTCGGCTGAATCAAACTGGCTGCTCGTAGCTATTGATGATATAGATAGATTCTAAATTTGGATATTTCTCAAATTAATTATATAAATCGTCTATTAGAGGATTTTGCAAAATTATTTCAATTTTTAAATATACGGATTTTGATACATATTTTTTATACTTTTATAGTGAACAATTAGGTAGCAAAAAAACAAAACAAAACATACACACACGAAGGGTGGCTCGAAGCTAAAAAAAAAAAAAAAAGCTTAATATTAGTCATGTTCATCGCCTTGAAGAAGTTTCAGAGGAATTAATATGGACCCAGAAGTTAACCTATCCTACTGAGAAACGCTACATCCATTTATCTTTGTCTTTTACCACCTATATATATATAGATATTAGTCTATATGTGGAAAAATATAGACATTGAACACATGATGCAATAACGCGCCATCTATATATACTAAATAAAATTACATTCACGGATTTTTATTTTTTAAATAAAACAAATTTTCTACTTTTTCCTTACTGCGGTGAAAATTATTTGGAGGGTCTTGCTCATCAGTGATAAATCCTTCCAGTGGTTGCGCTGTATTGGATATATATAAGCGGAATCATCCAATACAATAGTAGAGCTCTGAGAAGCGGTCTGATTGATTAAACTGGCGAAACCGGTGAGAGGGTTTACCACAGATGAGCCAGACCATCCCGTAATTTTTCACAGGAAAGTAAAAGGTTGTTTTATTTGAAAAAATAAAAACCCGTACTTAATAGTTTAATTCCGCATATATACAAGAGTCATTCTCTTACCGCTCGCTTCACGTTAAAATAAAGCCCATCAACACTGATGTAAATATTGTAGCAAAGTATTTATTATTTTATTAACAGAGTATCATTTTTGAGATGTTTATATTTTCTACTCTGTAAACTTCCCTCATTGCTTATATACAGTTAAACCTGTCTATAGCACCCCTCTTGGGACTCATCAAAATAGGGTGCTATAGAGAGGGGGTGCTGTAGACAGGTCACTTTTAATGTAAATCACATCGTACTACGTATTTAAAATCGGGCGCTATAGAGAGGAAGGCGCTATTTAGAGGGGGCGCTATAGACAGGTTTAACTGTATATAATTTTTTTTTATCATTCATAGTTTGTTTTTGCCTCAAATAAAATTTCTGTGTCATCCTGAGGTTTGTCTTTCCTAATTTTTCACATGGAAATATTATGTAAACTAAACGCTATAAGTATAGAGGCCTATAAGTCTCAGGCTATAGTAGTCATCGTACTAGATGTTCGGTCTAGTGTTTATACATT